GTCTTCCGAGAGAAATTTTCAGTGAAATAGAATAAATTTGTTATTTGACTTTCGAAAGACAAAGAGGGATATGATATCTTCAAAATTCATTCATATGTAATTCTTTTTCCTAATATAACGATATAATGTTTTTCATTCTTTTAATTTAATGACGATATTATTTGTTTATTTAAAATGATTACTAATGTATCATTAATAACGATATATAAAATAAAAGTTGACAAATTTTTCATTACATCGTATACGACAATGAAATATTATTTATTTAAATATCATAGGTTTTTATAAAAAAAAAAACAAATTAACAATCAATCATATTTATATATTATATATATATATATATATATATATATATATATATGTGTGTATCTTATTAGAAATAAAAATTATACAAGATATTCGTATTTGTATATTCAAAAATAAACATCAAAGAAACATTCGACACGAAGAAGGATAAAGAAAGATAAAAATGACATCGTTGAAACGATCCCTTTTCTCGTTCTTTCATCTTCTTTTAGGTGACATAGGAATAAGAAAAAGAGGGTAAGAATATAAGCGGAATATAAAAGAGTAAAAAAAAAGAAAATAAGGAGTAGGTTCTCGAAAGAGTGAAAGAGAGATATATATGTATATATATAGAGAGAGAGAGAGAAAGAGAGAGATAAAAATATTCTCGATGGGGTGGACGTTCTCGCAGCTAGCAAATCACAGCATCATTTATCATCGGAGGCATCATCCATCTCGGACAACTGGAAATCTCTATTTTGCATTCGGCTTATCCGGGTGTCAAGAGGGATCGCGATACTTCATCCCTTTTCTTTCTTTTTTTTTTTTGTATTCTTTTTCTCTCTTTCTTCCCCCCTCCCTTTCTCTCTCTCTCTCTCTCTCTCTCTTTCTCTTTGTCTCTCTCAATGTACAAAAGAAAGAATATACATTGTCGAATAGTTGAATATTTATAAAAAAATATAATCAATTACAATAAATCTCTTCTCTGTTTCGTACGTTAAACATAATTAATATCTATGTCTAATATTCTCATATAAATTTTTCTCTTTTTAATTATCAATCATAGAAATAAATTTTTTTTTTTATTATTTGATATTTTCTTATGAGAAGAGTCAACGTTATTCAATCAAATTCTTCTGTAAATATCATGAAATGTTAGTGTTTAATAGGCTACTTCAAAACGCATAATAAATATCGTTCCTTTCTCTCTCTCTCTCTCTCTTTTCTTCTCTCATGCTCTCACATAACGAATCACTCGGAAATTAACGGTCTTCTGGCACACCGGCACCGCCCCGTAACTGCTAATGGTAATGCGGTAATACTCGACTTTCCATTCTCGTTAAAGTTTGATTTAAGCGTCTCGTTGAGCTTCACTCAGTCGAGACGAGTCTCGTAGAACGATCAACTACTTCGATCGTAGGCGATGCTTCAAGAAAGACAGAGAGACAGAGAGACAGAGAGACAGAGAGAGAGAGAGAGAGAGAGAGAGAGAGAGAGAGAGAAAGAAGAATGTCTTGTGTCGTGATTTACATATGTACGTACTTTAACTCGTTTGATATATACGATGAAAATATTGAAATAGAATTTTTCTGAACAAACAAAAATTAATATTTTACATTTATTAATTACAATTCAATAAGAAATAAATAAATTTTATTTAAAGACTTTTATCAAATTTATTCATTAATAATCATAAATCGAAATATGAATTAATCGTTCATTAAATATATTCAGATCCTCGTATGACAATGATAATTGTAAAAATATTTAAAGATCTTTTTTAATAATTCGTATATTTTATATTATTTTCATTTTATTCGAAGTATGATTTGTTAAGAGTTAATCAACTCGAATTTTGTACAATACTACAAGTAGGGATGACATCTTACAAGGATAAAATATATAGTCACCTCGACTTAAACTTATAATATTAATCTTCGCTTCTCGATTTCGACAAGATTAATAGACGTACGAAAGATGAAGAGAAGTAGAGACGACCTCGTTGTAACATACTAGAACGCGATAGATATAAGGAACTTCATGATCTATACATCGTCAACGTGATCGATGCGATCGTTTGAATGATTCTGATATAACTTTATCGATCAGGTTAGTATACCAGTGCTAATGAGAGTCTTAGTAGAATGTCAGGATATCACTTATTCATAATTGACATGTCTACTAAGAGAAATCTACTTGAGATCGTTAAAGAAAAAAAAAAAAAAAAAAAAAAAAAAACAAGGAAAAAAAAGAAGAAAAGAAAGAAAGAAAAAAAAAAACGAAAGATGTTTTAAATAAGAGAGATCAAAGTTTTAGCAAATATCTTTTATCTTGATCGCGAAGTCGATCGATCAAGATATCGTTAAATACTTTTTATGAGAAAAAAAAAAAGAAAAAAAAAGAAGAAAAAAAGAAGAGAAAGAAAGAACAACAAACATGCGTTCAAAGTGTGAAATTAAAAATAATCTATACGACGTGATGATCTACGAGATATGATATAAATTTATTGTCCCATTACTAAGGATCAATTATATTCGCTTGGATCGATCTAACGGTTTAAATTCTTTGGAAAAAGATCGATCAAAGCTACTAACCTCGATTGAAGGAATAACGATTAGCGGAACTTCTACTTTTTATTGGTAAAGGATTCTTAAATGATTACTGTGAAAATTGGTAGCAACGTTCGATCGTGAGTTTCATTTCTATCTCTCTATCTCTCTCTCTATCTCTCTCTCTCTCTCTCTCGATTTATCCTGTTAAACGTGACGTAAGTAAGTAGACGAGGCAGGTCACAGAGAGCAGAGAAAACGGAAGTCGAAGAAATAGTAGAAGCTTCGATAGCTGAGAGTTAATAATAAGACGACGGTAATTAGTTACCAGTCGTTGTTCTTCTTAGATGATCGCCATTAAAGATCGAGTTCTATAACGATCAACTTTTTCCTTTCTTTATTTTTCATTTTTTCTTTTCTTTCTTTTATTCTTTCTCTTCCTTTTTTTTTTCCTTTTCTTTTTTTTTTTTTTTTTTTTTTTTCGTTAGACTCAAACATCATATTCCAATAGGTAGAAGTAACATTTCGTGACTGGGAATAATGAGTTATTGATATTACCTATCTATATCCTCATCTCTTTTTCATAACATAGCGATTATAATTGGTCGTAATCAATGTTCATTTATATAAGAGTAAAAGAGATCCCCGGTTTTATTACATCGATTATGTCCTTAGACGTAAATTTATTCATAATTTACTATTAATTAATTTTCCATTGTAAATTATAGGTAAGAAGATTTTGAAGAGATACATTCTTTACGTATGACTCTCTCTCTCTCTCTCTCTCTCTCTCTCTCTCTCTCTCTATCTTTCTCTCTTCTTTGTTTCTCCGTTTCTTTCTCTCTGCATTTCCATAAAATATCGGGATGGTAATAAATATCAATTTTACAAGCCCCTCTCGTACATTTGCAATTGGAATTCTCGTTCATTCATTCATTCGTTCGTTCGTTCGTTCGTTCCTTCGTTGTATCGACGATGGGACGGTAGGAAAAGGATAGAGATAGAGTATAGGGATGAACAAAGACGTAAGAGAAAGAAGACTCGAAAGGGTAGCGAGGAGGGGAGGGAGAAAGGAAGCACGTTAATTATTTCAAGCTCGATTGCAATTACTCATATCGAATTGGTCGTTAAAACATACGATTCGAGACCTCAAACAATCTTCATGAAGCTCGTTAGCGAAAGGATAAATATTTCCAATTGGTGTCGTTTCTTTCTATTTAATTTTCTTTCTCTTTCTTCCCTTCTTTCTTTCTTTCTTTCTTTCTTCCTTCCTTCCTTCCTTTCTCTTTCTAATATTATATTATCTCTTTGATCGATCTCTATCCTTTTGATTTTTCTCAATGTATAGACATATATTTCAACAAGTTTGTTTCGATATAATTATATTAAATTTATTTTTATTAAAACACACACATATATATATATATATATATATAATTAATAGATATTAATTAGAACAAAATGTAATAGTCAAATTAAATGATAATCGAAGAAATCAAGAATCTCGATTGTCGAGTTCATCGTTGAAAATGATTTTATCAGTACGAAATGACGTCATATTGATCCCTTCCTTCTTTTTTCTTTTTTCGAGGTCAATGTAGATCCCTTTATACACAAGTCGTACTGTTATATTATAGATGCCAATCTGAAAAGGCGAGGCAAGGAGAAACGAGAGATAGAAAAGAAGTCGATCGAAGTCGCGACAGAGATCGACTCTATCGTAAAATCGATGATCATTATTCAAGGTTCAATTAAAGGCACGGCGTGCTTCTAATTCGGGCACCGTTCGTGAGATTATCCCGATATCTTTTCGTATCGATTGCTCCTAGGTGGGCCTTGCGCGTTATGCTACGCGATACACAGGGGCGGATTCAATAATAGAATTAAATTAAGATTTATCATTGTAAAGGGATAAATAAAATAGAGGAAAAAAAAAAAAAAAAAAAGAAAAATATTCTTTCGTACATTGTTATAATATGATTCGGTTCATAAAAATTTCATTCGAATGATTCGTTTAACAAAGTACATACATATATTGCATTATTATATATTGAAATATAAATATAAATATATATATATATATATATATATATAATACAAAATGTATTTAATGTTTATAATAATATAAATCATCATTTAAAATATATCATTCAAATATCTTTCAAATTATTCGATGATGAAAAGAAATGTTTCCGAAATAAAATTAATCAATCTGTATGTATAATACATTTCGTTTTTCATCATCAATTATTTTCATTATCAATTGTATATTATTATGAATGGGTATTGAATAAATTTTATGAAAGAAAGAAAGAAAGAAAAAAAAAAAGAACAGAAAAGATAGAACATAAAAAGAAAAATTGTATAAAATTATCAACATACAAAATTGCTTCGTATGATTAATTTATAAAATTTTAATATTATATTCGCAAATATATTGTTTAGAGAGAAGGGTTGAGATGAATCCGCCCCTGACTGGTGGCATCGTCGTGGTCGAAGCGAAGGAGAGCGTGGGCGCGCACCTCGTCGTATCGATCTCAGATTTTTCGACGACCGTTTCAAGAGCAGGATACACTGGGTGGTCCCATGAGATGTACACAGAACAATGAATCATACCTCGAAGAAAAGGATTTCGGTGTGACACAGTACCAACTCTCCACGTATTCCCTCAAGGTGATCTATACGAGCGAACGAGTACCAACCCGGAGAGAACCGATCTCTGTAAGATCCTTTTTTTTCTTCTTTTTTTTGTTTTGTTTTGTTTTCTTCTTTTTTTCTTATCGATCGTAAAACATTTCAAAACGTTAACTGTTTTATGTTTCTGTGTGTGTGTGTGTGTATGTGTGTGTGCGTGTACGTGCGTGCGTTTACGTGTATATCATACTTTTCAACATTAATAATAATATCAATAGTTTTCTATCTTTCAACTTGTATAACATTAAATGAATGATCCTTGTTAAGTATTAATAATTAATAATTCAAACGAATACATAAGATCAGTTTAAATTAAAAAAAAAAAAAAAAAAAAAAAAAAAAAAAGAAAAAAGAAAAATAAAATAATGATTTAACATGATCGATTCGTTCGTAAATAAATCTATCGGAAATTAATTAGGATTTATTGCTGAGAAGATATTGGGAAAATACTTTTTTTTTCTTTCCTTTCTTTTTTCTTTCTTTTTTTTTTTTCTTTTCCTGTTTGTAAATAAAAAAAAAAAACTGATTAACTATTAACGAGAAAATGTAAACGAAAATAATGAATATAAGGGATCGTTCGAATTTATCGAATTTAGCCACTCCCCATTTTCTTCCTGAGCGAGCACCTAATTAAATTAGGCTCTTGCTGATAGATTTCAATCAGACTCGAACGGGCCACCGTCGACACTCAACTTGCTCGTCCAGGGAAGTTTCGATCTACACGCCCCTAAAATTTAACAAGCCACCTACCCCATGTTCGCAGCCTCCCGCATGTCATCTCCTCTTCTCCTTCCTCTTCGTGCAATTAATTAACTTGGTCTTTTTTCTCTCTCTCTCTCTCTCTCTCTCTGCCTCTCCTCTTCTTCTTTCGCATCCCAAGCCTTCCCTTAGATCCTGAGTAATTCAATATTGTGATACGGGTTCTCTAATGTTCTTTTCTTTTCTTTTCTTTTCTTTGTTTTCTTTTATTTATTTATTATTTTCCCACGTAAAATCTAAAGAAAATATAAACATTTTCTTAAAATCATTCAGAACGAATATATTCGTTCAATTAAATAAATACGTTTACAGTTAAAAATTATAGTTATTTAGACGATAGATTTAACGTCGAGATGAGATAAAAAAAAAAGAAAAAAGAAGAGAGAAAAAAAAAATAAAACGATCGACCATGTCCGTTCACGATATGGTGACTTAAAATATTTTTTGTTTCTTTATACGAAGGAACATTTCGATTTACTTATACAAGAAAGTCACAAGAAGAGAGATACAAGTGGTGTATACACGTGCCCATGATCCTCTCTCCATGTAATCCCAATGCTTCGATAATAATCTTGCGAATTACATAATCGGAATACCATCGACGAATGTGCAAAAAAAAAAAAGAAAAAAGCAATAATAAAAAAAAAAAAAAAAAAAAATAATAATAAAAAAGAGAGAAAAAGAAAGAAAGAAAGAAATAAGAAAAGCACGAGCCAGGTACGATCAGCAAGGTGTATCGGCAAAACGATTATTATCCGGGAGTTTCCTTCGGGTCTGTCCGGATTCGTGTTCACTTTATTTCCTCGGTCGTTAGCCTTCGCGTGTGCGTTCCCGAAAAATCATGAAAGTTATATACGGTGATGTAACAGAAACGGCCAAACGTTGTTCTTAAATCCTTGAGAATGAAAGCAGCTTTGCTTGTAGAAGCCGAAAAGGAAGAAGAAGCTGAAGAAAGAGAGAGGGAACAGTTCATAGGCAGCTGGCGAAAAGGCATTTATTACCTCTCGCTACATTTTACGGGTCCTTAATCCCTTTCCTCCCGTTATATCCTGGATCGAAGGAGGATTTCGAGTAGACTGCCAAAGGATTTTGACGGTCCTTTGAGAAATTCACACTAATCTTCTTTCTCTCTCTTTTTCTCGTTTTCTTTCTTTCACTCTTTCTCCGTAAGCCTCTTCATTTTCTGTCTCTCTTTCTCTTTCTCCTTCTTTCGTATTATTCTCTTTCTCCTTTCTTTATAAATCGTTTTTGTTCTACATTTCTATAATTTTCACAAAGTATAATATTTTTCTCAGACTTATATTACACCTCGAATGGTCAGAACTACGTTCTCGTCGTCGTCGTCGTCGTCGTCGTCGTCGTCGTCGTCGTCGTCGTCGTCGTCGTCGTCGTTGTCGTTGTCGTCGTCATCGACGTCGTTGTTGACGTCGTCGTCATTCGTTCTTTTAGAAAAAGATTTTCTTGAGAAACGTATAACATAATAGGTGTTCCTATTCGGTTAAGAGTTCGATGGAAAAACGACTTTTTCGTGCGACTAGACGGATAATCGGTTAGAAGGAAGTACGTGATAAACGTGAACGATCTCGAAGAGTTATGATCTTAGGAAGTGACAAGAAACCGGTGCGATACCTCATAAGGAGTTCTCGTATATGAACAACTCCTATAACTTGCTTTAATAGAACGGGAAATTGTATGAATTCCAATCCTATATATATATATATATATATACATATATATAATTTAAGTTTATTTATTAAGAAATTTCAAAGAATTTTACAATTGAATTTTTACGACAATAAGTATCTATGTTAAGATAATTGTTAAGAAAGAAATTTCATAATTTATTAATAGAAATTTATTCTAAGATAATGACACAGAAAAACGGATTTGTTAAATTATTGTTCGATCACGAGAAAGTACATACATACGTGCATACATACCTACCTACCTACCTACTGTGGTTTAAGAAAAAAAAAAAAAAAAAAAAAAAAAAAAAAGAGAAAAATGATCGCACTTGGAGCGAGCAAAGTCGAGATAAGAAAGCATTGAGTTCGAGAATCGTCGAGTCTCGGAGATTATTAAGAGTGAAATAAAATCGCGAGACAATCGCTCGAGCATACCATTTTATCGGCGTCACAAGAGAAAGAGAAAAAGAGAGAGAGAGAGAGAGAGAGAGAGAGAGAAAGAGAACGGAGATTTCTCCTTGTCGGATTATTTGATAACAGAGAAAGAGATAAAAATTCGTATGTGAAAAAAAAAAAAAAGAAGAAAAATCTTGACCGTCCAATTCATTTTGATAAGAGAGAGAGAAGAGTCGATCCCATATCTTGAACATATTCTTTGTATCATTTCTACGTAATATTTTTTTGCTTACATCTTAAACGCGTTATATTTATTCCAATAAATAAATAAATATATTTATATATATAGGATGATTTCCATTTCAAGATTTCGCTTTTTACGATTGGAAAGATCGACAAACTTTTTAGAAGGTGAAACGCGATCGAAACTTTCAATGATGGGTTAACGTTTCTCTCCGAGCGATAAAACCTTACGTCGATAGGCATCGGAACACAATGGGATTTCGATTTTATTATGTCCAGCTGCAGAAAAAGTGAGAGAGAGAGAGAGAGAGAGAGAGAGAGAGAGAGAGAGAGAGAAAGATAGAAAAATAAAAAAAAAGAAAAGGAGATAACAACCAAAGCCAAAGGCGATCGTAACTCAAGCGGTGTCTTTCAAGTTGTCGTCGTACAGTGAAACTGTGTCAAATCGATGAAATAGCCTCTGGACTTACTCCAAGAGAAAGAGAGAGATAGAGATAGAGATAGAGGTAGATAGAGAGAGAGAGAGAGAGAGAGAGAGAGAGAGAGATACCTTTGGAAAAATCACTTTAAAATATTAATCGCATTCTTGATTTATACAATCGCAATTTTATAAATACACACTTGACTTTTCTATAACTTGTTTCTATGGTTTTAATCAAGAAATGAATTAGATCAGAAAATTGGAAATTTTTTTAACGTGAAATAAAACTATATATCCGAGTTTGATAACGTTCGAGGGAGTAACTTTTATTAAATTTCTATTAATATTTATCTTAATTCTTATTCTATGTATTATCATTGAAATGATCTCGAAAGGATTTAATTGATTTATTTTTAATGATCGCGTAAATAACTTTATGATACCAATTTGTATTAGGATATGATAAAGAAATGCGTAATCGTGATAATAATCGTGCTCCGAATGATTTTTAACTTCGAAATAGTCTCGAAGCGAGCCGAGATCTCGATTAATATCCATCGAGAAAAGGGTTCAGCTCTCAACACATACACCTTCGTAATGATCGTAATACCGTTCTCCACGTAGCAAGTTTGCCTCGCTTCGAATACAATAATAAATAATTAAAGTCACCGAACCGGATGAGATTCGTTCCTCGAGACTTACAACCGAAATTACTCGCGAGCGAGTAAGCAAGCAAGTAAGAGAGCGAGAGATGTGTCCCGAGGAGATTTCGTGTCGTCGGACTTAATTACTTCGGCGCAAGCATTAATGGTATACGCCGCGTAGTTTTACGTCCCGTGGTGTACACTATACTGTCCGCACATTTGCCATTTTATTACTTTCTTCGGCAGGTGGACGTATACTCCTCTCTAACCCTCCTCAGGCATCTAGTACTTTTATTAGTTCTTTTCTTTTCTTTTCGTCTGATTTCTTTTCTTTTTCTTTTTTTTTTTTTCTTTTTTTTTGTATTTCAAAAATTCTTTCAGTCAGCAAACTCCACCCTTTTATAGGTAATTTATCATATCTTTAACTTCGTTCTTGATTTTATGTTTTAAGTTTGACGAATTCGATCTTATAATAATAATAATAATAATAATAATAATAATAATAATAATAATAATATAACTTTGTATAATATTCCACAGTATAATTTATAAGAAATGTATATAACAAAGATGTATTAACTATACGATTCTCAAAAATAATTACTTTATTTAAAATATAATCTTAGCTGTAATAATTCATATTACGTACCTTTGTTAATTACAATTTTCTCCTTTTTGTTTTTTATGTACTTACAAGTAAATTTTTTTATATACATTTTTTCTTTTCTCTCGTCATACACAATGCATAAGATTAATTGTTATTCGAGTCTAGTACGAAAATTTAAATCAATTAAGTCAAGTGATTTGTATCTTTTTCTTTCTCTTTTTCTTTACTTATTTTTCTTTTTTCTTTTTCCTCGCATTTTGAAAAGAGCTATC